TCTCATTGACAATCTGAATTGGCCAAATGAGAGAAATTCTCTCACTATCAAACCAGGCCAGAACGATCCCTGAGCACTTAACTGGTCAATATTAATGTATCATATTAGTCTTGAGTTGAGCCTTGTTTTCTATTGACACTTCAAGCAAAAATAGAACTGACAAGACAAAAGCAACACTCCTCTAAGCTAAAAATGAAACAAATTATCACCATTTTTATAGTCACACAACTTCTTCATCAAAAACAATAGTAATAACAAAACAAGTGAAGGAAAATTGTCACCGTCAGGTTGCTTATACAGTGTTAGGTCTCTTACAAATATGAACTTATATCACATGTATATATATATATAATTGAAAACAAGGTGTACAATTCTACCTAAAATGGTTAAATTGCAAAATCCAAACAATATACATAAGGGCACTAGTATAATGTACAACTAGAAATGTGTCCATAGGACACGGATGCCCCCACACGCCACTGTTCTGTCAATCTTATGACTCTAGGTCAAATATTTTTTGGACTACATGTGCCACAAGTTGAAAACTAAAAATCAACAAAGGGCCATAATTCTGTTAAATTTGGTCGCAGCAAAAATTCCTTCCTTTACTACCATCTACACATTAAGGTTGTTAATCCCTGGAAGTTTAAGCAAAATCTGCCATCCGGTTTAAGAGGAGTTGCGTTCACAAAATTTCTACATAGTATATAATGAAAAAATCAACAAAGGGCCATAATTCTGTTAAATTTGGTTGCAGCAAAAATTCCTTCCTTTACTGCCATCTACACATTAAGGTTGTTCATCCCTGGAAGTTTAAGCAAAATCTGCCATCCGGTTTAAGAGGAGTTGCATTCACAAAATTTCTACATAGTATATAGTGAAAAAATTAACAAAGGGCCATAATTCTGTTAAATTTGGTCAAAACGAAATTTCCTTGCTTTACTATCATCTACACATTAAGGTTGTTCATCCCTGGAAGTTTAAGCAAAATCTGCCATCGGGTTTAAGAGGAGTTGCGTTCACAAAATTTCTACATAGTATCTAGTAAAAAAATCAACAAAGGGCCATAATTCTGTTAAATTTGGTCGCAGCGAAAATTCCTTCCTTTACTACCATCTACACATTAAGGTTGTTCATCCCTGTAAGTTTAAGCAAAATCTGCCATACGGTTTAAGAGGAGTTGCGTTCACAAAATTTGGGAACGTAAGGACGGACTGACGGACGGACGGACAAGTGCAACGCTATATGCACCCACATTGTGGGGGCATAAAAATGATGATATTATCCGTCTGGGACACAAAGCTAAGTATTAATGAAACCCCTTGCGATTTATAAGAGTTGCAAAAATATACAAAAATTGTTTTTACCCAGCAGGCCACCACAATATAATATATATAACAAGAATTTTCCTTCAAAACTTATTAGTGTTAAATTTCAAATCATTATCATCTGTTTCGCTTTTTTCCCTCAAAATAAAATATTACAATCCCCATCATGCTAATATTTACTAGGGAATTATGTATACAAAAGATAAAGTCTCTTTTAGCCAATTCTCAATAGACTTATTACAAATTGCCTAATTATAATGTCATCATGAAAGACAACAGCGTAAAAGTGTATGTCGATAATACAATGAAAATGAGGCTCTAATTCTACAACGCATTTTCTTTCTTCTTTTTTTCTCTCTATAATATATGACTTTTTGCTTTGTTATATTACCTGCACTGGTAAAACTTCTGACATAATCATTGATCGTTCCAGGAAAAGCGATGCTATAATTGGTAATTTCATGCCTATAATTCATAACGAGTACAATGATAAAGAAACAAGAGTGCCAGTTTGTCACAAAATATGCCTGTCACATTGATGAATGCTCAGTCACAAAATAGTGAACAATAAAATTTACATTAAAATCCATACATGCCATAATTTTTGGACAGCTTTCCGGGACACTTTTCATCGCGGCAATAATGGATGTGAATGCAGTTGTGGAAAAGGGGGGGGGGTGTCAATCGTATAACGTTATTAAATTAGGACGACTTTCTCCTGAATTTTAATGATAAACAGTTAACTTACTAGTTTTATAAGTTGTCTTTTAGGTCGACATATTTATCATTTTAAAAGTATTTCTTTATTTAATTTATTATTCCCTAAAAGCAAGTAAGTTGTAAGTTATAAACCCGGTGAATGGGCGCAGCCATGTTGTTCACCCGTTATATCTTAAAGTCATGATAATTACTACATGTCACGTAATGCAATTCTTCCAGTCATAAAAACAAACACAGCAAGGAGATTTATTTGGGTGACCATTTATTTGACACCTTTAATTTTTTTATTTGATAGATATATTTACATTGTTAAACTGTAATAATTAGACTTTCGGCATGTTAGCGATTGATCTAAAAATTAATGATTATCGGGGATTAACGATAACTGTTTAGGGCCGTAAACAATTAATTAACCCGACCATTAAACGCTGCCGAATTCAACAGAGAATGTTAATTGCCGATGCATAAAGAATCTATTGCCAAGGGGAATCGACAGCCGATAATTGTGGGGCTGTATATTGTAAACTTGTAAGTGTCAACGTTCCTGTGTATTATGTGTACCAGGTCAGATTATGTTTTACGATCTAGAGGTGAAATGTGCGAGATTTGATTTAAGAAAATTTATGAAAATTTTGCAAAATATCATGATTTTTTTTTCCGGGATCAAATCGATGCCCGGGACATCTCCGGGACAGACATCCGATTTCCGGGACAATCCCGGGCATCCGGGACGTTATGGCATGTATGTTAAAATCTGACAATATTTATATACAGAGGGATATCAATACAACTTGACACAAATGTTCACCAGTGTTGCACACAAAACTTGGGTCCCTGTGGCCAAAGGCAAAGTCACACATAGAATTCAACACCATGAGCCACCGTGAGTTTTGCAAATAAGATAATAACATGATGGTGAGCACTTACATCTTGTAACATAAGATGACCTTGACCTTGCATAATTATATTAACCTGAATAGGCTCACAATATTGCAATCACGTGATTGTGAACATTTTGTGATACAATAGTACAATTCAAATCTATAAAATTGTCTATATATCCATTTTTATATCTGACCTTTGACCACTATGTGTGACTTAATTGCCACATGAACCTGACACGGGCTGGCTGCAAACAGAGAACTCAAACTCAAGTTTACATCTGAATATGGATATTCCGATCAGTGAACTGTAAATTTACATTTACAATACTGCCTATGTCAAATTTGCAGTTTTTTTATTCATAACGGCGAAATTACATCATCTCAGACACATAGTTTTATTCAAAATTGCGCCAAAATGACGTCATTTTAATGCTGATTTTACTCATAAAAATGAAATTTCTAGCATGAAAACTAACAGAAATACCAGTCTGATATGCAAGAATGTGTTTTGAAGCCCTTTTCCGGTTATAAAAATGTTACTTCCCGGCTCCAGAGAGCAGATTTGAGAGCAGCTTATCTTTAATAATCTTTATCTGTTTATGCTGTACATACTTTATATCTAATATTTTAGATATGCAAGCAAAACTAACAATATTTTTTATCACAGATATGATGCAAAACAACTGTATCTTTCTTATCTTTTTTCAATATACATGTAGTTACATACAATAAAGTTACATCTATTATGCACAGATTCTCCAGCCCTTTGTTAGTATTGATTTTACAGCTCTCATTTCAAAACATTCTAACAGTTTTTCTTTGCTTTTAATTAATTTAGAGTAAAATTGATTAACATTTACATTCCAGTGACATTTGCCTAGCTACCTTTGGCATTTCACGATGACTACAACAAAAAAAAAACTGTATAAAATTTTAATATAACTTGAAATTGTATCTTGCGTTAAACATATTTAGAATAATACATAAATATATAATATAAGAATTGCAGTCTTGTTTTCAACATATTTTTTAACAGCTTATTTTTATAAATCTAATCTTGTGAACAAACATGATTTTTAGATATTTTGAGAACAACAGTATTTTCATTTTTTATAACATGCACATAATTCCTCAGAAAAATATAAATTTTAACTTTTTCAGAAACGGCAAACATGAATGAACTTTATAATGTTTATCATGGTATGGTCATCATAAAACTTACAAGATATAAACAAAATAATATTTTGACTTCCATATAAAACACTAAATCTGTATAACTGTACTAATTTTTAAATTGCCAAAAGCAACAGAAAAAAGATGGTGTATAATATATATATATAGAGGATATTAATTTTGTTTGCTTCAAATGTAAGATCAAAAATATATTTCACTGAGTGAACACCAGATGCAATATTTTCACGAGTTGCGTAGCCACAAGTGAAAATATAATAGCTGGTGTTCCTGAGTGAAATGTATTTCAATCTTATATGCAAAACAAACAAATTTCTATTTATTTCATGCTTTTTGGTGTTTTTAGGTCTCTTTTACTGATTTTGCCACATAACATCATGTGTTCTTCTTCATGATACCATGAACATCATGATGTCACACTGTATCAGGGTAAAGCTCCTTCATTATTGTCACTGATAACTGTATGTTTAGGTGCTCCTTTCTCATTACAGTGACCTACTTAGGGCTCAAAATTTTCTTTGGCTAATACACTGTGGAAAACTGAACAAAGTTAAATTATCACCACTTTGGGCAGGACTGGTCTCATGTCCGACGCTTTGTATGGTCACTCAGGCTTACTAAAACCGTCTATAAATACCAATGCATATCATCTAACCATTTCAAAACAAACAGCAAGCACTTGAATCAAGGCATTTTCTGAGTATATGTAATACATTGTAATCTAATTTTCAAGTTTCTTAAATTTCAAAGCAATCTTAGAACACTAGTGTCAAGAAGCAATTTACATGGAAACAATGAATACATACATAAGCCACGAGTTAAATTGTTCGCACTGTGATGCAACAACTTACTAATCCCATTAACTTAATTTTCTTACCTTCTTAAAACTTCTATTTCATTATTAAGAGATTCTTCTTTTCCAACTATGCCCATGCGATCAATACATTTCACAGCAACAAATTTACCAGGATCTGTTTTGTCTTCGGCCAATAAAACTTCTGAGAAGGCTCCACTGAAAGTACAAATAAGTGAATTATTAACTCAGGGATATTTTTACTGTTTTAAAGGATGCAAAATTGAAGAACTTATACCAAAAAATATTTTAAGAGCCAGGCCACTGTATATTTAAGGGACAAGCAACCTAAGATCAGCCTGCATCAAATGTGTGTGTCAATTTTAGTCTGTCTAATTTAAGATGTGATGATGGTAAAATTGGTACTATAAACTATTTATAAGTGACACCTAGACTGTAAAAGTCATCTGGTGACTTTCTAAATTTAATAAGTGGAGGAGGAAAACTTACTGAAGATGCCTTATGGGCCTTTGTGACTTAATTATTTCAGGCACAAGTTTACAATACCAGTAGAATCAATATAAGATCTGCCATCAAGCAGAACCCTTTCTCTCATGAAAGACTAAATATATTTACAATTTATAGCCTAATATTTAAACTAAATGCAATGAGGATCGAAGAAGAAAACAATAGGATGAACTTGAGCAATAGAAACTACCTCAGGCCATAAAAGGTTCAAGTTCAAAAGTAAAAGAAAAGCTCCTCTGAGCTCAAACATTTTTCACTGAGGTATTGGGACGTCGTCGACTTGGCCAAGTTGTTACTGGATTTAACATTGTTCTGTAAATAACATTGTCTGCAAACTATGCACAAATACTTTTGGAATCAATAACAAGAACTGTCGGAGGACAGTAACGCTCGACTATTCGAAAATTTGTCACAAGGGTGTTTCATTGATTATAATAATGCTTACCTATATGAATACATAAAATTGTCCGAAAAGGAACAAACCCTTCAAGTTTCAATACATTCCCTTCAGTAGTTATGGAGATACAAGCTTACACACAAAAACTTAACCAAGAATTTATGAATCCAAAAAGGGGCATTATTATGCGAAAAAGAAAATCCGAGTTATGGGACTTGTGCCAATCATCTTAGATAATCACAGACAACAAGAGTGTTAAGTTTCAATCCATTCCCTTCAGTAGTTATGGAGATACCAGCTTACACGCAAAAACTTAACCAAGAATTTCAAAGTCCAAAAAGGGGCATAATTATGTTAAAAAGCAAATCAGACTGATGGGACTTGTGTCAATCATCTTAGATAATCACAGAGAACAAGTGTGTGAAGTTTCAATCCATTCCCTTCACTAGTTATGGAGATACCAGCTTACACGCAAAAACTTAACCAAGAATTTCTAAGTCGAAAAAGGGACATTATTATGTAAAAAAGCAAATCAGAGTTATGGGACTTGTGCCAATCATCTAAGATAATCACAGAAAACAAGTGTGTGAAGTTTCAATCCATTCCCTTCAGTAGTTACGGAGATACCAGCTTACACGCAAAAACTTAACCAAGAATTTCTAAGTCGAAAAAGGGGCATTATTATGTAAAAAAGCAAATCAGAGTTATGGGACTTGTGCCAATCATCTTTGATAATCACAGAGAACAAGTGTGTGAAGTTTCAATCCATTCCCTTCAGTAGTTATGGAGATACCAGCTTACACGCAAAAACTTAACCAAGAATTTCTAAGTCGAAAAAGGGGCATTATTATGTAAAAAAGCAAATCAGAGTTATGGGACTTGTGCCAATCATCTAAGATAATCACAGAGAACAAGTGTGTGAAGTTTCAATCCATTCCCTTCAGTAGTTATGGAGATACCAGCTTACACGCAAAAACTTAACCAAGAATTTCTAAGTCGAAAAAGGGGCATAATTATGTAAAAAAGCAAATCAGAGTTATGGGACTTGTACCAATCATCTTAGATAATCACAGAGAACAAGTGTGTGAAGTTTCAATCCATTCCCTTCAGTAGTTATGGAGATACCAGCTTACATACAAAAACTTAACCACAGGGACGCTGACGCCGACAAATGGGTGACTGCATTAGCTCGATTATTCTGCGAATAGTCGAGCTAAAAACTAGAACTATCACTAAATGTGATTAATACCCCCACAAGACTGCTTCAGAATTGAGGATGTTACTAGTAACAGAATACCTTGTAAAAGAATTGAAATATAGAGTTATGGTTGTGGGCAATTATAGATAGTTGTGGTTCTTGTATGTTGCATTTCCTTTCAATGTGGTTGGCCATTGATGAAGTCCAGAAAGACAAGGAAAAGAAACAAAGGACAATAACTCTATAAATACTGAAGATGGAGTTATAGTTCTTGTGCACTGCACTTCCTCTTATTGTGCTTGACCATTGTATGAAGTTGTTTTGAATTCCAACCAGTATGTTTTAAGTTATGCTCCGGACAAGGAAAAGTATCAAAGGGCAGTAACTCTGTATTTTGTCAAAATGGAGTTATGGCTCTTGTGCAATGCACTTCCTTTTAATGTCCTTGACAACTGTATGAAGTTGTATTGAATTTCAAACAGTAGTTTTCAAGTCATGCTCTGGACAAGGAAAAGTAACAAAGGGCCGTAACTCTGTAATAAGTCAAGATGGAGTTATGGTTCTTGTGCACTGCACTTTTTCTCAATGTGCTGGACCATTGTATTAAGTTATAATGAATTCCAACAATTAGTCTTCAAGTTATGGTCCAGAAAAAAGAAAGCAATGAAAAAGTTACAAAGGGCAATAACTCTGTAATTACTTTAGATAGAGTTATGGTTCTTGTGCACTGCACTTCCCCTTTTTGTGTTTGACAATTGTATGAAGTTGTTTTGAATTCCGTCTAGTAGTTTTCAAGTTATGCCCCGGACAAGGAAAAGAAACAAAGGGCAATAACTCTGTAATTAGTCAAGATAGAGTTATGGTTCTTGTGCACTGCACTTTCTCTCAATGTGCTTGACCATTGTATGTAGTTATATTGAATTCCAACAATTAGTCTTCAAGTTATGGTCCGGACAAAAGAAAGCAATGGAAAAGTAACAAAGGGCAATAACTCTGTAATTACTTTAGATAGAGTTATGGTTCTTGTGCACTGCACTTATCCTTATTGTGTTTGACAATTGTATGAAGTTGTTTTGAATTCCAACCAGTAGTTTTCAAGTTATGCCTCGGACACAGAAAAGTAACAAAGGGCAATAACTCTGTAACAAGATATGTTTGTAAAACATGTATGCCCCCTATTAGCAGCCAATTAGTCATGTGATAAGGTTATTATGCATGACTTCTGACCCAGTGATCAAACAATTAATAAGGGTTATCAAGTATCTACTGGTCATGACCTTGACCTTTGACCCCTTGACCCAAAATTCAATAGGGGTCATCTGCTGGTCACGACCAATCATCATACAAAGTTTGAAGTTCCTAGGCCTAAGCGTTTTTAGTTATAGACCGTTTTTACCTACAACGTCAATGTGACCTTGACCTTTGACCCCTTGACCCTAAAATCAATAGGGGTCATCTGCTAGTCATGACCAATCACCATGCCAAGTTTGAAGTTCCTAGGCCTAAGGGTTCTTTTATTATTGATCGGAAACCGTTTTAACATACAAGGTCAATGTGACCTTGACCTTTGACCCCAAAATGAATAGGGGTCATCTGCTGGTCATGACCAATCACAATGCCAAGTTTGAAGTTCCTAAGCATTCTTAAGTTATTGATCAGAAACCGTTTTTACTTACAAGGTCAATGTGACCTTGACCTTTGACCCCTTGATCCCAAAATCAATAGGGGTAATCTGCTGGTCATGACAAATCACCATACCAAGTTTGAAGTTCCTAGGCCTAAGCGTTCTTAAGTTATTGATCAGAAACAGTTTTTACTTACAAGGTCAATGTGACCTTGACCTTTGACCCCTTGACCCAAAACTCAATAGGGGTCATCTGCTGGTCATGACCAATCACCATACCAAGTTTGAAGTTCCTAGGCCTAAGGGTTCTTAAGTTATTGATCGTATAGGCATTTTTACCTACAAGGTCAATGTGACCTTGCCCTTTGACCCCTTAACCCCAAAATCAATAGGGGTCATCTGCTGGTCATGACCAATCACCATACCAAGTTTGAAGTTCCTAGGCCTAAGGGTTCTTTAGTTATTGATCAGAAACAGTTTTTACCTAAGATGTCAATGTGACCTTGAACTTTGACCCCTTGACCCCAAAATCAATAGGGGTCATCTACTGATCATGACCAATCACCATATTAATTTTGAAGTCCCTAGGCCTCAGGGTTCTTTTGTTATTGATCGGAAACGGTTTTTACCAAAGAGGTCAATGTGACCTTGACCTTTGACCCCTTGATCCCAAAATCAATAGGGGTCATCTACTGACATGACCAATCACCATACCAAGTTTGAAGTTCCTAGGCCTTAAGGTTTTTTAGTTATTGATCGGAAACCCTTTTTGTTTACAAGGTCAATGTAACCTTGACCTTTGACCCCTTGACCAAAAATCAATAGGGGTCATCTACTGGTCATGACCAATCACCATACCAAGTTTGAAGTTTCTAGGCCTAAGGGTTCTTTAGTTATCACTCGGAAACCGTTTTTACCCAAGAGGTCAATGTGACCTTGACCTTTGACCCCTTGACCCCAAAATCAATAGGGGTCATCTACTGATCATGACCAATCACCATACCAAGTTTGAAGTTCCTAGGCCTTAAGGTTCTTTAGTTATTGATCGGAAACCGTTTTTGCTTACAAGGTCAATGTGACCTTGACCTTTGACCCCTTGACCCCAAAATCAATAGGGGTCATCTACTGGTCATGACCAATCACCATACCAAGTTTGAAGTTTCTAGGCCTAAGGGTTCTTTAGTTATCACTCGGAAACCGTTTTTACCCAAGAGGTCAATGTGACCTTGACCTTTGACCCCTTGACCCCAAAATCAATAGGGGTCATCTACTGATCATGACCAATCACCATACCAAGTTTGAAGTTCCTAGGCCTTAAGGTTCTTTAGTTATTGATCGGAAACCGTTTTTGCTTACAAGGTCAATGTGACCTTGACCTTTGACCCCTTGACCCCAAAATCAATAGGGGTCATCTACTGGTCATGACCAATCACCATACCAAGTTTGAAGTTCCTAGGCCTAAGGGTTCTTTA